AGCTGCCAGGACTTGAACCAGTGCCCACATGGGATACTGGCATCTCACGTGGAGGCATAACCTGCTACACTACAATGCCAGCTCCTAGTTTTCAGTTTTAAAGTTTTGGTCTTAGCATCCTGATATATCATAGTCTCTTGGTAAATATGTATTGAATGAATTCATTGGAAATCAAAGCCATTCTGAAAAGGAAGTGAATAGGATACATCAATGAGCCAATAGTCACATTAAATACATTTTCATTTGGCTTCTCTCTTGGGATTTTGTCATATGGCCATGGTTGCATTAATGGAAGAAAATAATGGGTTATCCTAAATTAACTTGGTGAACATGTCAATTTTTCTCATGAAATTTTTTTTTAAATCTTGACATCTATAACAAGCTCACAGGATTAAACTAGAGAACTTGGCTTCTAGGCTCATCTCTGCTGCTAATAGCTTACTAGTGCACCTTAGACCTGATTTCCCAGGCACTGGTTTCTTCATCCGAAATCAAGAGCTTGACTAGGGGCAGGTATTGTGGCACAGCAGGTAAAGCCACTGCCTGTGACACAGGCATCCCATATGGGCGCCAGTTCATGTCCCAGCTGTTCCTCCTCCAACCTAGCTCCCTGCTAACATGCCTGGGAGCAGCGGAAGATGGCCCAGGTGCCGATGCACCTACGTGGCAGGTCAGGAAGAAACTTGTGACTCTTGCCTTCAGCCTGGCCCAGCCCTAGCCATTGTGGCCATTTGGGAAGTAATCACTGGATGGAAGATCTCTCTCTTTCTCTCTCTCTCTCTCTCTCTCTCTCATAAATGGGATTTTTTAAAGATTTATTTATTTATTTGAAAGTCAGTTACACAGAGAGAGAAGGAGGCAGAGTGAGAGAGAAAGAGAGGTCTTCTATCCTCTGGCTCACTCTCCAATTGGCTGCAAATGGCTGGAGCTGTGCCAATCCGAAGCCAGGAGCCAGGAGCTTTTTCAGCGTCTCCCACGTGGGTGCAAGGGCCCAAGGATCTGGACCATCTTCCACTGCTCTCCCAGACCATAGCAGAGAGCTGGAACGGAAATGGGGCAGCTGGGACTCGAACCGGTTCCCATATGGGATGCTGGCACTGCAGGCGGCGGCTTTACCCATTATGCCACAGTGCCGGCCCCAAGATTTATTTATTTTACTTGAAAGTCACAGTTATACCCAGAGAGAGAGAGAGAAGAGGCAGGAAGAGAGGGAGGGGAGGAGATAGGGAGGGTGATGGAGAGGGAGAGAGAGAGAGAGCTCGGTCTTCCTTTAAAAAAAAAAAAAAAAAAAAAAAAAACCAACTTTGACCAGATTGTTCATAAGGTCTCTTTTGGCCCTACTATTTCAAACTCTGAGCCCCTTTGCTTTAGGGGCACCTCAGTCTTGGAAAGAACACTGGATGTGTAATTAGAGGGATTTTCTTCAAACCCCAGCATAATCACTCACTGGTTGCATGACTATAAAAAAGGCCCTTTGACTGTGAGGCTGAATGGAGCATGGCCAAAGTACCAAACAGGAGCAGCTCATGGAATAGGCACAGATTTCCTGAGTATTCCCTCTGCCAAAAAGTGACCCTGCTCCCATTTCCCATCTCATCTCTCCCCAGTCTAACCCACAGCGCCCAAGAGCACAGCCTTCAGATTTCTCGAGTGCCAGATTTCATTTTTTTTATTAGACAGGCAGAGTTAGACAGTGAGAGAGAGAGAGAGACAGAGAAAGGTCTTCCTTCCTTTGGTTTGCTCCCCAGATGGTTGCTATGGCCAGCATGCTGCGCCGATCCGAAGCCAGGAGCCAGGTGCTCATTCTGGTCTCCCACGCGGGTGCAGGCGCCCAAGCACTTGGGCCATCCTCCACTGCCCTTCCGGGCCACAGCAGCTGGACTGGAAGAGGAGCAATTGGGACTAGAACCCGGTGCCCACATGGGATGCCGGCGCCACAGGTGGAGGATTAACCAAGTGAGTCACAGTGCTAGCCCCACCGAGTGCCAGATTTCAACCTTGACTCTCCCCCATACCAACTCTGTGATACTGGAAAAGTTACTTTTCTGAACCTGTTTCCTAATTTGTAAAATGGAGATCTTCATATTTCACAGGATAAGTATTCTCATGATTATACTACTTCATAGGATTGAGATTATAAAGATAAATGTATATGGAGATGGTTTCCAAAATGGTCACAACATTATTTCCCACACTTTGACTCTGGCCCAGTAACCTGTTTCGTAAACAAAATATAGTAAAATTGTGCTAACTTCCTTCCAAGGCTGGCCCTTAGAATATCTACAAATTCCACCTTCATTTTGTAAAAGTTCCTTTTGGGAAAACAAGTCACCCACAAGAAAGCCAAAGCAGCCATGCAGAGACCCATATGAAGGAGAACCACAAACCCAGGCCTTCATCCCCAGCTAAGCTGCCAGTCTTCAGGCCAGCTCCACCTACCAGCCATCCCAGCTCCTCGGCTGATAGCATGAGAGGCAGCACAACCCCCCCGCCCCATCCACAAATCTGTGAGCTGATATGAAAAATGTTAAATAATTATCAGTTAAGGCACTAAGTTTGAGGTTTATTTAATGCAGCAGTGAAGAACGGAAACCAAATGCTGAACATGGCGTTAGGCAGGAAGACAGACATTAGCCTATGTGTGTGAAACAAGCCTAAGAACAAAACACCTGCAGAAAGGAACCTAGCAGCCTGGAAGCAACTTAGTATCTTCCACTACAAAGTCATGCCCATGTCCCCAAGTACTTCATAGGTGGTCCCAGCCTTCCCAGAAGGCCCTCCAGAATCCTCTCTGCCAGCTGCCAAGAGAGCTACCCAGTCTGATAAAATTGGTAATAAAACCTGGGGATTAATTTCACCAACTTCACACCAAGCAAACCCTTTTTCCAGGAGATGAGGGGGCAGGAGAAGAGAAATGGCAGGAAGAACTGGACTCCACTCCCTTATAAGCCCCAATTTGAATGCTGATTGTACTGTCAGCTCCCAGCTTTTTGCTGAGAAGCCTGCCCGGCCTGGCAGGGGTATTCTCTTCATTAAACCATACTGATGGATGCCCTACGTTATTAAACCTTGCTACCTTGCTTACCACTGTTCTATCTCACACCTGAAATCCTTTCTTACAGAAAGACAAGAACCTCTTCTCTACCCATCCCTGCAACAACAGTACCTGCACCACAGCTAGTACTCAGATTCCCTTTTAGGGAATTTTTCCATCATTTCTATTCATTGTTCCACTTCTATCTTCTGGGATGCCATAGACAAACTCCTTTTTCAAATGACAACACTTTACACATGTTTAAAAAGTACCATTGCTAAAAAAAAATAAAAAAAAATAAAAAGTACCATTGCTTTGTCTTTCACTCTCCCCACATTCTCTTAGGTCAAATGGCATAATGTTCAGGCCTCACATCTACGGATTTGCTCATTTCTGGATGACCACTGGCTTCTGAACAATCACTAAACATAAGGCATTCCACTGGCTACGACACCGGCATCCTGTTTGGGTGTCAGTTCCAGGCCCTGCTGCTCCGCTTCTGATCCTGTTCCCTGCTCATGGCCTGGGAAAGAAGTGGAAGACAGCTTACTAATGTGTCAGACCCAGAGGAAGCTCCTGGCTCCTGGCTCCTGGCTTTGGCCTGGCCCATTGCTGACCATTGCAGCCATCTGGGGACTGAACCAGAGGATGAAAGAATTCTCTCTCTCTTCCAAATAAATCAATCAATCTTTATTTATTTGAAAAGCAGAGAGAGAGAGAGACTCTTCCACCCACTGGTTCATTCCCCAAATGGCTACCACAGCCCTGGCTGGCCCAGGCTGAAGCCAGGAGCTTCTCCAGGGTCTCCCATGTGGGTGCAGGGGCCCAAGTTCTTGGGCCATCTTCTATGGTTTTCCCAGGCAGTAGCAGGGAGCTGGATGGGATGTGGAGCAGCCAGCACTCGAACGAGCAATCCCATGGGATGCTGACACTGCAGGTGGAGACTTAACCTTCGCCACAGCACCGACCCCAATAAATAAATCTTTTTAAAAAACCCCAAAACATAAGGCACTCCAAACAGGCTCACCTCAGACATCTGACCAATACATAAAGACTGACCTTATTGACAAACATCTTAGGGAAATGATGTATGTGTCTGAGGTTTGCTTCACTTCAAAATAATCCAGTGAGGAGTTCGAAGTTCATGGCAGGAATGAAACAAGATAAGTCAATTATTGATCAATTGGTTGGTGGGCACATGGAGGGTCACTAAGTCATTTTCTCTGCCTTTTGTGCGTGTTTGAAAATAACACTTTAAAAAAAAATGGTCCCAGGAAACAGCAGGGGGAAATGACGTCAAGTTCCTATAAATTTATGGTGCCTTTTGACAGGGAATTCCGTGTGCGGGCCTGCTGCTGGCTGTCCACAGGCGTGGCTTTTGCTGAACTCACTGGGGGTCAAAGGGGACAGGGCTGAGATGGAAAACACGAATTCTGTCTGGAAACCTGCAGCGGGAGGAAAGGGTAGGCAAAGACTTCGTGGTCAGTCAGGAGGAGCTCTGCGCCCAGATTTCCGCCCAGAAGTTCAGGACCCTCGAAAGCGCACGCTCCTCCAGGTTAAGGCCACCGTGAGCCACGTCCGCACGTGACAACTAAATCTCCTGCTCCACGACCGCGCACGGCCCCTAAACGAGGGCCAAGTTCTCCTGAGGTGATGTTGGGCCTGAGGCCACACAAGTCTGTCAGCCCTCAAGTTCACGCATCGAGGACACCGCGCCCGGCCCGTTCCCGCTCTGTCTTAGGACGTCGGCTGTGGCGTGCGAGGACCACCGGAGCCTCGTCTGGCCGGCCAGTCCTGGGTGGAAAACACGCGCTGAGGGCCCTGCTTGCCCGCAGTACGGCGCCACTGCGCTCCCAGCGCCCTCGCCCACAGCTCCAGAGAAAGCCCGAGACGCCGAGGCGCCGAATTCCTAGAGGGGCCGCCGCGAGCCCGCAGGAACGCCCCGCGCGGGCGGGACTGTGACGCACTTCCGGCCGCGCCGTCCTGGGGTGCGCGGTGAGGTCCTCCCGGTACCTGGAGCGGCTCGGATTCCCCGTGCATTTGCAGGTATGGGATCGGCGCGGCGGACGGAGAGGGACCCGTTCCCGAAGCGTTTGGGGGGAGAGGGGAGGGTCTAGCAGTTGTGGGCTCGAGAGGGAGGGGAGAGCCTCGCAGACTGGTCCTGGGAGGGGTGGGGGAGGAGCGCCGGTCCCTGCCCAGCCCCGGTGCGGACTCTGAAAGCCCTTTCCCTCCTCCCCTGGGCCTTAGCGAAGGAAACTTTGCCTCTGGCATTCCCGAGCGGCTTTTCTGTGCGTCCCTGGCTCCGAACGGGAGGTCTGAACTCAGGGTTAATCGTGGGCTAATTGGGAACATCCTGGAGGAAACCGAGCCACGACACGAGTCTGGAGTAGCGTCCAGTCTGAGGAAGGGAATCGTCCTCCTTGGGCCTTTGTTCACTTAGCGGAAGTCTGCTCCAGCGTGGACGCACGTTTTTAGAGCAGGGTTTTCTAAAGCAGAGTGCCCCTAAGAAGGTGATGTGATGGGTGGGTGACGCACTCAAGCCAGGGTGCGGAGAGGCCCGAGAGTGAATACCTCGGCTGCACTCGCCTCCCGCCCTCGGGTCTAATGCTGGGGTTGCCCGCTGGCAGCCAGAGGGCCGGAGACACGAGGCCGTGCAGCCCTCAGAGTCCGAGAATGGCTTTGGAAAGGGCACGTGGGAAAAATCAGCAGCCTCCTTTCTTAAGTGCCATTCATTCCTCCCCTCTCCCGCTGACCACGCCACTGCCGTTCATTTTATAAATATGAACCTTTCATACAAAATATAATTTTGTTTGTCAAAAGACCAGTTATGATCCATTTTAAGGCTTGATGATTTTCTGATGACTATTCATTCTTAAAAAAAAAAAAAAAAACGCAATTTGGGAATCCAAAACGAAATGAATTTTGAAAGTATCTGTACTTCCATAACCGAGCAACGTCACTGCTAAAAAGCTTTGTTTTTTTTTTTTTTTCCTTCATTGTGTGTGTAGTATGTCCCGCTTACTAGTTCAAGTACTGTCAAGCCAGATCCGTGGAGAATGACATGTGCTCAAAGTTAACATAATCAGGTTTTGTTTTTCAAGATGTATTTATCTATTTGAAAGAGTGACAGGGAGAGACAAAGAGATAATAACCTTCCATACATCGGAGCCAGGAGCCAAGAACTCTCCAGGTCATCCACATGGGTAACAGGAGCTCAGGTCCTTGGGCCATCATCAGCTGCCTTCCAGGTGTATCACCTGGGTGCTGGATCAGAAGCCCAGAGCTTCTGGGACTCAGCGGAGGTGGGATGCATGTGTCCCAAGCAGCAGCCCAACCTGCTGTGCCTCAGCCTGATCAGGTTCTTAAATGCTCTAGATTATTTGCAACTCCTACTTCCCTCAGTTTTTGTAAGCTTTTTGTGGTGTGTACCATTGTGCTCAGTATGATTTTTGTGGAACAGATACCCATATCTGTTTATAACAACTACTGGAGTTTTCTGCTCTAGATTGCCCAGATCCCACGTGGGATACCTATGGGACATGAAAGATGCTCCTTAAACTTAAAAAAACAAAGGCCAGTAACAGAGGGTAAGATTCATTGACTTACATATCTTTCTTCCAAATTATATCTAATGAGTGCCAGTAATGATAGATTAATTCTGTAGTCTGTTTACTCATTTGTTTTCCACCTCCCCACTAACTTGAAAGCTCCTTGATGGGAGGATGTGCCTCTTGTTATCACCACAGCTCTAGCACCGAGCACATGGCAGGTGTTCAACAAATGTTGAGTCAGTGGACTACACTTAATGACAAGTGAAGAAAATCAAAGTAGTTATATTTGTTACAGATGTTGGTGTTCTAATATGTCAGCTGACCAAAATGACCTTTTGTGTCGTTTATTTAATTTTCCCTCTGAATTTTTTTTCTCAGCACTACATATCAAAATAGATAACTCTATAAGAATATATGCTACTTTTATTTCATTCTAACTGCTTTTCTGTAAAAAGCTAAAGGTAAAGGGCATTTAAAAACTTGACTATGGGCTGGCGCCGCGGCTCACTAGGCTAATCCTCCGCCTTGCGGCGCCGGCACACCGGGTTCTAGTCTCGGTCGGGGCGCCGGATTCTGTCCCAGTTGCCCCTCTTCCAGGCCAGCTCTCTGCTATGGCCCGGGAGTGCAGTGGAGGATGGCCCAAGTACTTGGGCCCTGCACCCCATGGGAGACCAGGAGACCAGGAGAAGTACCAGCCGCAGCGGCCACTGGAGGGTGAACCAATGGCGAAGGAAGACCTTTCTCTCTGTCTCTCTCTCTCACTGTCCACTCTGCCTGTCAAAAAAAAAAAAAAAAAAAAAAAAAACTTGAGTATGGAGCTGACACTGTGGCGTAATGGGTAAAGCCACCACCTGTGGCACTGGCATTCCATATGGGCATCAATTCGAGTCCCAGCTGCTCTACCAATCCAGCTCTCTGCTACGGCCTGGGAAGCAGTAGAAGGTGGCCCAAGTCCTTGGGCCCCTGCACTCATGTGGGGGACCCAGAAGAAGCTCCTGGTTCCTGGCTTTGGATTGGCCCAGCTCCAACCATTGTGGCCATGTGGGGAGTGAACCAGCAGATGGAAGATCTCTCTCTCTCTCTGTCTCTTCCTTTCAAAATAAATAAATAAATCTTTAAAAATAAATCCCAGACTGTTTAAAAAAAGCAAAAAAACTTGAGTATGCCTCACTTATAGTGGATTAAGTGAAGTTCAAAATTACATCACTATTTATACTCAGTTATTTTTCAATGAACGAGTAAATTTCAGCCTTCCAGCAAAATACCAGGTAATGCTAACAAGCTCTGTCATTTGACTAGTAAATTTCTAGTATTCATACTGAATCTCTAAAGTTCAGACAAACAGCATTTGGCTGGTAGACAGCTGGTTGAAATCTCAGAAACTAAGGTGTCTATAGTTGTAAGAATCTGAAATAATTTTGAGAACAAAAGCAATTTAATTTTAAAATTATGTCACACTGAACTTTTGGGAGAGTGGAGATACAGTAAAATCAAACTAGTCTGTCTTGAGCTGAGTCCAGAAAGACTTTGAACAATCAGTATTCTATGATAATTTTGCAGAACCATAATTTCCTAGGCTGAAAATATGGCTGTAAAGATCAGGAAAACCTACTTTTCTTTTTGGTAATTTCGTGTTAACCCTATTTTCTAAGGTTTAACGTGTGGCCTAACAACCAGAATCCCAGAGGAACCAACATTCCTGCTACCCACAGCCTCATCGTTAGTCTGTCTCTGGAGCCTGTACGATGACCAAGGTGGTAGGCATGGCCACAGTTCTGGGCCCCAGGCCTTCAAGGGAGCTGGTAGGGCCTGTGACTGTGAAATTCGAGGAGGAGGAAGAGAGAGGGAAGCGCCTTCCTAGCGTGGAGATATTCCGTCAGCGTTTTAGACAGTTTGGGTACCATGACACCCCTGGACCCCGAGAGGCCCTGAGTCAACTCCGTGTGCTCTGCTGTGAGTGGCTGAGGCCTGAGATCCACACCAAGGAGCAGATCCTGGAGCTGCTGGTACTGGAGCAGTTCCTGACCATCCTGCCCCGAGAACTCCAGGCCTGGGTGCAGGAGCACTGCCCGGAGAGCGCTGAAGAGGCCGTCTCTCTCCTGGAAGATCTGGAGCAGGAGCTGGATGAGCCAGAACTACAGGTAGGCCGGGGGAGACCTTTGATCCTAGGAAGCTGGGAGTACGGCATTCCAGGCAGAATCTGGGTTTGTCTCTTCAGACTTGGGAGTTGAATGGGATGGACTTTTTCTTTTTTCTTTTTCCTTCCAAGAGCTTCTGCTTAGAACTAAGTCTGGTTCTTAACGGGAGCTATGTACAAACTCAGTCATTGCCAATTATCTCCAGGTTTCAACTTCCTCAAAACAACAGAAAAAGAAGCCACCTTCAGGAGCAGCAAAGGAGTCACTAAACAGTGGGGAGCTCCAGCCTGTGGAGAGCAGTGACAAGTACGAGTCTTGGGGGCCCCTGTACATCCAAGAGACCGGTGAGGAGCAGGAATTCACTCCGGATCCAAGAAAGATTCAAGGTGAGGACCGCCTGTCAGGTGCCTGCTCAGTGCCCAGCCCTTTGTGGTTGAATAAGCAGACGTATTCGTAATTCCTGGTGAGCCCACGCGCAAGATTGACTTGGCAGATCAAGCTGACAAGGTGGAAATGGTTTCCTTTTCATCTCCAGGTATAGCTGTCTCGGCCAGGGTCCTAGCGTGGGAACAGATGACACACTCAGGTTCAGTTGAAGTGAGTTTAATAAAGGGACTGTTTATGGACGTGTAGACAGGTTGAACGAACCAATAAGGGATGATGTTGCACCAGAAAACTATTAGTACCCATGAGCCTGAAGGGACAAGCAAGAGGACCTATTAGCAGAACCAGACCTGTAGCTGTGAGGAAGCCGTCACTCTGTAGGACCTGTGGCTACAGGCCCCACTGTCGAGTGTGGAGAGAACAGAGGAAATGAATACCCAGCTTCACCCTTCTCTTGCCCATGGGTCTTCTGCTGGTGTTCCCCACTGGCAGACTCAACTGGTGGCCAGAGGGCAGGAGAAACAAAGCAGAATAGTCCTTAGAGTCCACTTCCTGGGCACAGAGCAGGAAAAGGCAAATGGAACAATCAGCAGCCTCCTTTGTAACGGTCTGGAAAGAGAGGGGACATTCTTCACAAATCAAAGACGTGTTAGGGTAACTGCTCCCCAGCTCAAATCTCCATAAATCAGATCTTACAGAATAGCCTCAGGAGCCACAGATAGTATTCCCCTTTGCTATTTTGTTCTAGTAATTTCTGCTCTTATGTACTTTCATTTACCTGAAGGATTGTAACTAAATTCTTAAAGCAAAGTTGATGCCCAAGTACATGTTTATAAAAATGTTGTACATTGACCCAAAGCTTGATAATTTCATACCAGGGCTTTGCTTTAGTGTGAGTGATATATGGACCCTATGTGTGTATCTGGTGTGATTTCATGAGAAGGGATCTTTACCATGTCCCAAACATATAAAATTCCATTTTGGAAACTGGTTGTTAAACCCTGTTAAAAATTGTATTCTCTGGCAAAAGTGGGGGAAAACAAAAAAACTATTAGCTAAATTCTTCACTTCATGGTTGTTAATTCCAGTCCTCTACTCCAGGTAGTTGAGGCCTCCCTGGAGTTGCCAGAGTAATCAAAGATAAAGGTGATTAGAGATAGATTTGATCTTTGTTTTTGTTTTTGTTTTTGTTTTTGTTTTTTCATTTTTCTTGGCAGCCACTTGGGAAGGAAGAGTGGAACAGAAGGGTTATCAGAGCAAGTGATAGGCATAAATCTTTTTTTATTTTTTAATTTGTTTGTTTATTTGAAAGTCGGAGTTATACAGAGAGAGAAGGAGAGGCAGGGAGAAAGAGAGGTCTTCCATCCACTGGTTTACTCCCTAATTGGCCGCAACAGCCAGAGCTACGCCGATCAGGAACCAGGAGCTTCTTCCAGGTCTCCCACGTGGGTACAGAGGCGTAAGCACTTGGGCCATCTTCTACTGCCTCCCCAGGCCACAGCAGAGAGCTGTGGAAGTGGGAGCAGCCAGGTCTTGAACCGGCGCCCATATGGGATGCCAGCACTTCAGACCAGGGCGTTAACCTGCTTGCCACAGCGCCAGCCCTGGGCATGGATCTTTATACCAGATGGGAGAAGAAACACTCCTAAGGGAAGGGAAGTTGACACTAAAAGCCTTGCATAAAGACTCCAAAGTTTATACCCTCTGTGTAGAAAGATATACTGGACCCCAAAAAATGAGCCCCCCAGCTCAGGGATGCAGTAAGGAAGTTTGTCAGCCTGCCTGAGATCTGAGAGTGAATGGAAAATACTGAAGCCCTCAATGTTTGCCCCAGTGGGGTTTGGGGTCTGACTTTATATTGCCTTCATGGTTCAGAAGCCTCCAAGTAAAGAAATCAGCACGCAAACATTGGCTCTGGTACTTAGATGGGTACAAATTTTGTGATTTCTAGAATATTCTAGACCATATAAAATCACTTGGGGCTAGGGGAGAGATGAATCTTTCTGAAGAACAGAAATTATAAGATCACAAGAAATTATAAATTCACAAGAACAAGAAATTGTAAAATCAGTAGTTAAAACAAAAGGGGACTAAAAGCCTAAATAATATCCCAAGAATATTATTTCTACTAGAACATCAGTGAAAAGGCTGTAAAATAAGTTGGTTTAAAATAATTTAAGATACAAATCCTTGAGACCTTAAGAAAATAAGAAACTTTTTTAAAAGTCAGCTTTGATAAAAACAAAATAGAGCTCCTAACAGTGAAAAACAGTCATTGGAATACAATGGCTGTTTTTAAAAATTAGAGGATAATGAACCAGAAGGCAGCTGAGGAAGTAATCTGAGATGATGCTTATGAAAGATGAAGATGGGGCCAGTGCTGTGGCATAGTAGGGTTAAATCTCCCCTGTGGAGCCTGCATCCCATATGGTGCCTGCTCAAGTCCTGGCTGCTCCACTTCTGATCCAGCTCCCTGCTAATGGCCTGGGAAAGCAGTGAAAGATGGCCCAAGTGCTTGAGCCCCTGTACCCATGTGGGAGACCTGGAAGAAGCTTCTGGCTTCATATCAGCCCAGCTCCAACTGTTGCAGCCATTTGAGAAGTGAACTAACAGACAGAAGACCTCTCTATATATAACTCTGCCTCTCAAATAAGTAAAAACATCAAGATGCAGGGCGTTGGGGGTTTAGTTCAGGGTTGGATGGGAATGTCCAACGTATAAAGATTCAAGAGACAATTTGCAAAACAAAAGGCCATGAGTTATCCAGAGATTATGAAAGATGTAAATCCTAAGGTTTGGAAAGCATAATCAAAATAAGAGAAAGTAGATATCACCTAGATATATCATAATAAAACTTCAGAATGTCAAAATTTATGGAATACTTTAAAAGGAACCAGGATTAAAAAAAACACCATGACCGTCATCCCCCCACAAAGGGCTGATAATTAAATGGATAGCAAAGTTACCAACAGCCACAGTAAGATGGGAAGACAAATATATGATTTGTGGTAAATTCTTTTTAAAATTCTGCCTCATTTAGCTATTTTTTTTTTTTCTGAAAAGTTTGTTTATTTTTTTAAGAGGCAGAGAGAGAGATCTTACATCCACTGGTTCATTCCCCAGATGGCTGCAACAGCTGGAGCAAGGCTGATCAGGAGCCAGGAGCTTCTTCCAGGTGTCCCATGTGGGTTCAGGGGTCCAAGTACTTGGACCATCTTCTGCTTTCCCAGGCATATTAGCAGGGAGCTGGATCAGAAGTGGAGCAGCCGGGTCTCCAGCTGGTGCCCATAAGGGATGCCAGCACTGCAGGCAGCAGCTTTACCAGCTGTGCCACAGTGCTGGCCCCATTAGGCTATTTTTTAAATAGTAACTTATATTAAGTTACTTCTTTCTCACACAATGAGTCATGTAGTTCATGGCTGCATATAACTTGAGGTCTGTATGTATACCCAGCTCATTATAGGGATGAGCCTGGGAGCAGCTGGTGGGTATGGCCAGCAGAGGAAGGAAAGAGGTGGTTGAGTGGAGAGAAACAAATGAGTCAGTTCCTTGGGAAAGAGTAAAGAGGTTTAGAAATAAGGTTGCTTGATAAATGACACTACTGTACACTCAGAGGACAATCCTCAGAGAGAGCCCATATTTTAGAGTGAATTTTTTGTGGATACTGAGATGGACTTTTAAGATGAGTGACTTCCTGGTGAGATGCTCTAAAAGGATGACCTGATTCAGTCTGATTTCAGCAGTGAGTGTCTCTGTAAAGATTTATAAGGCACAGCCAGTACACATTAAATGGTTAACTCTCATGGGAAATCAGGTGCTTTTATTCAAATTAAGGACCTGGGACTAGAAAGATTTTAAGTGGGCTGAATTTGATTTATGTTCATTGATTATCAACTTCAATTTCTTTTAAAGATTTATTTATTTATTTGAAAGGCAGTGTTACAGAGAAGCAAAGGCAGAGAGAGGTCTTCCATCTTCTGGTTCACTCTCCAAATAGCTGTAACAGCTGGAGCTGAGCCAATCCAAAGGCAAGAGCCAGGAGCTTCTTCCGGGTCTCCCACACAGATGCAGGGGCCCAAGAACTTGGGCCGTCTTCTACTGCTTTCCCAGGCCATAGCAGAGAGCTGGATCGGAAGTAGAGCAGCCAGGACTTGAACTGGCACCCATATGGGATGCTACCACTGCAGGAGGTGGCTTTACCCGCTCTGCCACAGCAGCAGCCCCCTCAATTTCTTTTACATTCAGTTTCTGTGGGAATAGGAATTTTTGTCACTCAGCCTCCTTTCCCTTAAATATCTATAATTTTCCTTATTCAGTTTTGGCCCTTCAGCAATCATTCTGTCTGTTTTTTCTACCCGAGCTTCATCTGTTTCCTCTGCTACAGTCACATTGTGCTTGTTTGTGCCCATGACTTCCTATACATGAAACTGGTGGGGAAAGCCATGTACTCATCATACGTAGTAACCTCTGTTCAGGAGACATGGGATCGTAAACTAGATTTGAGAGTGATTTATTTTTATTGATGTGACATTATGAGCTCTCATAGAGATATATCCAGTCAGATATATCTTTCAGAATCCATCAGTCTCACTTGTTGATCCTGTTTGTCCTGTAATGGTTTCTTCCTCAGAACAGGAAAAAACTGACATACCCTTATTCCCCTTGTTGTTTTAGATTATAAATCGAATATCCACAATGAGGAATCAACAGATGAGCAGAAAACTTCTGAAGAAGAATGTCATGCAGATGGACTCCAAAGGGATATTATTCCTGTGATTATTGCCAGTAAGCATGAAGCCAGGTTAGAAAGGCAGTGGGTAAACCCTGGGAAGGAAAGAGGATCAAAAGCCTCTCTTCAAGACACAGGCTTGAAGAAATCAGAATCAGTTCCTACCAAACCTACCCCAGGAGAGAGACGTTACATATGTGCCGAGTGTGGAAAAGCCTTTAGTAATAGCTCGAATCTCACTAAACACCGAAGAACACACACTGGGGAGAAACCCTATGTATGCACCAAGTGTGGGAAAGCTTTCAGCCACAGCTCCAACCTCACCCTTCATTACAGAACACACCTGGTGGACCGGCCCTATGACTGTAAGTGTGGCAAAGCCTTCGGGCAGAGCTCAGACCTCCTCAAGCATCAGAGAGTGCACACTGAAGAGGCGCCGTATCAGTGCAAAGATTGCGGGAAGGCTTTCAGTGGGAAAGGCAGCCTCATCCGACACTATCGAATCCACACTGGGGAGAAGCCGTATCAGTGTAATGAGTGTGGGAAGAGCTTTAGTCAGCACGCAGGTCTCAGTTCGCATCAGCGACTGCACACTGGAGAGAAGCCATACAAATGTAAGGAGTGTGGGAAAGCCTTCAACCACAGCTCAAATTTCAATAAGCATCACAGAATCCACACTGGGGAAAAGCCCTATTGGTGTAGTCTTTGTGGGAAAACCTTCTGTAGCAAGTCAAATCTTTCCAAACACCAGAGAGTCCACACGACAGAGGGAGAAGGCTCCTAACTGCCAAGTACACATTGCTATTGTGTTCTTCTGTTTATATGTTCCTGTTTATGTTTTTTTTTTTAAACCTTTAGAATGTGAATGCTAGGGAGAAGCTCTGTAATGCAGTGTCAGCCCTGGTGATAGATTCGCTTCACTTGACCTCACAAGATGCCCAAAGAGGGAGCTGTGCAGTCGGCAGGAGGTCCTTTTGCGTCTGTGGGGTCCTCACCGGCCAGCTCGCAGCAGATTTCCCTTCCCCACACTTCCAGGCCCGAATAAACTAGGCTGGCATTGCCTTCTGCATAGTTAAACTGATGTGTATCCAGTGTAATTAAGAAAGGAACAGTAAAACTTTTAACTGTTTTTAACATATTCAAGGATTAAAATTTGTAAAAAAAAAAAAAAAAAAATTAGCCTCATTGAACACAGTTTAATTGGATTCAGAATAAAGTTAAAACATGTAATGCTTCAGGACTCTCATTCTGATAATCCATTGGTTATTGAACACTATTAGAAAACTTTCTGCTTATTTAGCTTTTAGAAAATTTGGATTTGGGGGTAGGTAGAGCTTTTCATCCTTGTAAGTGTGTATGTATGAGGAAGTTAAGGTGGAGTGTGTCTACTGCCTGTTGGTCTAATTGTGCTTTTTCCACCTACTGAGCACATTCTTTGTTATTGGGAACATTTTTTCAACCTCCCGTGTGTTTTGGTTGTGTATGTTTTGTGCAAAAGACTCTGAAAACCAATTCTCCTCGAACAGCTTCCTTCTGAAATTCTGAAAGTCATACTGGAGTATGATCGTCTTAAATCCACCCTGTCTTCCCTCTGACAGAGGCTCTGGCTTCTAAGATACTTTTTATGCACCGTGTAATGTCTTACGGCCAGTATGTCCTGTTCCCTAGAGGCTAACCGCTTCACTCCTTCCTTCTGTCACTTGCATATCTTCATGTTATGACAGTTCTTTTCACCTCTGCTTAGTAGTCACTGAAATGTCCTTTTGTCCACTGCTGCATTCCTGACATGCCAGGATCTGAGACAAGAAAATTTCATATTTAGTTTCATTTCTGATCTCGGGAAATTTCCCTGCCTGCGCTCCTGGGATCGATATGTTAAGTCTTCATGTACCAGGCCGGTGCTACGGCTCAATAGGCTAATCCTCTGCCTGCAGTGCCAGTACCCCGGCTTCTAGTCTTGGTCGGGGCGCCGGATTCTGTCCCAGTTGCTCTTCTTCCAGTCCAGCTCTCTGCTGTGGCCCAAGCCCTTGGGCCCTGCACCCCATGGGAGACCAGGAGAAGCACATGGCTCTTGACTTTGGATCAGCGCGGTGCGCTGGCCACAACGTGCCAGCCGCAGCGGCCATTTGGGGGGGTGAACCAACGGAAAAGGAAGACCTTTCTCTCTCTCTCTCTCTCTCACTGTCCACTCTGCCTGTTAAAAAAAAAAAAAAAAAAATCTTCATGTACCAGCCAGCCAGAAGTGAGGCCAGGACTGGGGAGGGGAGAGGCACAGAAATCATTATTGAAAGAGTTAGTCATTCTTGAAAACATTTTCTTTCCTTTCCTGTAGCTTGCTGAAGAGCTGGATGTCCTACCAGCACCTAAAACTACACTTAGTGGTAACCTGTGCTGATTATATCTTAATCCTAATGAAAGCCCACAGAGATTTTGGTAACTAGCCAGCTATCTGTGGTGCTGCTGCAATTGGCAAGTGAGGAAAATGAAGAGCCAACTAAGCCCAAACAGCTGCCTCTTTTGTTTTGGTTAAAAGTGAGTGGGTCCCAGACCTGGACTGCCCCTTATCTTCTGGTGATTACTTTGATGCCATTGATGTAAGACACAAAGATCACACTGTGTCAGCTCCTGTAGGTTCATCTATAAGCTGAAGTCTTCCTACAATTTGTCTCCAGATTAAACCTTATTCTGCCATGACTCTTGTCTAGGAAAGCTGTTTGCTGTGATCCAGGAGTTCATGAAATCTTTACCTTAGGTCACATCTTCCTCTGCAAAGCTGGTGTCAAATGTACTACATGAAGCTCTGCCACTGGATTTTTCACACCAACCTTTGTCGCCACTCTTGAGTAAGGCGATGGGGAAACAGTGCCTTTCAGGGCAGGCCAACACATCCGTCTGAAACAGACCTAGATGGTTCTCCCATTCACTGGCCAAGGGAAGTCCCATGAATCCACAAGTGTGGGTAGAGGCCAAGACACCAGGGTAGCAAACGTGTATATGGGGGGATGGGGTGTAGGCTTCCAGCTTACATACCTTATGACGTCTGAACCTACCTGTTTTGGATCCTGACTGTAATGTCTCCTTTGTGTAGTGGGTTGTTGCTGTGTCCACCCAGTCTAAGCACTTGGATCTAATAACACTCAGTTTAGGATTGACAGCTGAAGTTACAGCCACTTGATATTTCATAGTGCCAGGATCTGCTTTGCTTTTTTTTTTTTTTTTTTTTTTTTTTTTTTTTTGACAGAGTGGACAGTGAGAGAGAGAGACAGAGAGAAAGGTCTTCCTTTGCCGTTGGTTCACCCTCCAATGGCCACCGTGGCCGGTGCGCTGCGGCCGGCGCACCGCGCTGATCTGAAGGCAGGAGCCAGGTACTTCTCCTGGTCTCCCATGGGGTGCAGGGCCCAAGTACTTGGGCCATCCTCCACTGCACTCCCGGGGCCACAGCAGAGAGCTGGCCTGGAAGAGGGGCAACCAGGACAGAATCCGGCGCCCTGACCGGGACTAGAACCTGGTGTGCCGGCACCACAAGGCAGAGGATTAGCCTAGTGAGCCACGGCGCCAACCAGGATCTGCTTTTCAAACTGCACAGTTCTTTGCTGTAGAAGACTGGGATTTGCTCTTGAATTCTTTAGGCAAGCTACTATTGGGACTTTCCATACCTATACACAACAGTTCTATCTGCCACAGTTACCTCTGACACCATTTCTATCTGCCGGGTCATATGGTGCTTGAGCCATATGGCTCTGGGCCACACTTGAAAATGGCAGCCCTCCACCTATTAAGTGAATTGGATAGATGTTAGCTCCCTGCTAACATGCCTGGGAAAACAGCAGATGATGGCCCAAGTGCTTAGGCCTCTGCCACCGATGTGGAAGACCCAGGTAGAATTCCTAGCTTTTGTATAACGCTTGGCTGAACTGAGGCCGTTGCTGTTATCTGGGGAGTGAACCAGCAGATGGAAAAAAGCCCTCCCCTCCCCCCTGCTCTCTGCCTTTCAAATAAATATACATATAAGTTTACATATTTATAAATATATATATACACACACACCCCACAGATCAATACCAGCACACCAAGACCCAGAGGCCACGTTGATCTGATTAGCTTTATGGCAACCATCATCAGCCAACCACAGCACATCTGTTCTTGTTTATTTGCAGGAGCCATACAGAACTTGGTCTCATGTCTTTGAGTGCAGCAATAATCACTTGAGTCCCATGTATGAGGTAGTATTGTTTCCAAGTTACCCCCTTGGTTGGGGAAAGTTTAGGTATTTCCACTTAGCCTTGCCTGCCATGACTCTTGCTGTAGGTTAGGTATCCAATGTGCTAATCACCTATCCCCCACAAAACACCTATCCCAATTATTCTCTCAGGGACGTGACCCAAGGGTGGGTCTCTGTACCCACTTGGCCTACTGAGATGATTTGGGCCAAGACTCCATTTATCAGCTGACCTCTATCTGGAAGGCAGTGGTGTAGTTTCAGGTCCGTGTCACCTTAGACTCTGTATCCAGTAGCCTCAAAAGCTCTGGGCATTCCCTTTCCTACTCCAATAACAGCCACAGGTCTCTTTGGGCAAATAGTTATTCCATTCACTTGTGGTAGAATTGAAAGATTTTTCTCCAAAAAACCCAACCTCCCCTCTAGTTGGTCAATTCTGAATCTGAGAAGTAACTCAGGTATGGAAAATGAGTGAAGAATTCTAATTTCCCATTGCAGTAACTGACACTGTTACTAAAAATCTAGCCACTAATCCCTGGAACCTGTCCTGAAATACAAGGTCTATTAAAAGAAGGGTGGGGGTGGTGGATGCTGATGTAGAACTGACAGTCCTATCTTTGGGCAGTCGAGGGACAAGAAGCTCTCAGAAAGCAGAGGAAAACAAGACACAAATGCTAAGTGCCACAGCCCTGGCCCCTAGGAGCACAGTGCAGCCTCAGAGGGTGGAAGCAATCAGGCTCTATGGGGGAGGGGCTTCCTTGGCTCAGATGATCAGAGAGTTCTCAGGTGTTTGTGGCTTTTCTGAGCCCATGGAATGCTTTACACACAAACCTGCTGGCCATTCCTAACAGCTTAACAATGCATATATTTTCTGTTTTCATTTATCTGAAATTTCTCATCATTAGAACTCAATAACAAATTAGGTAGTATTCTCTGGACCCAAATGCCAAGTGTAGTTCACTCAAAATATGATTTTTTTAAATCCCATAGTAAGACAAATATCAGACTATTACATGCTGTGGTTCCTGGAGCAGGCATTGGGGTGCAGCAGGCTAAGACACCCTGGGTTACGGTGCCCTTGGGACACCTGCATCCTTTACCAGGGTGTGGGTGGGAGTCCTGGCTTCTCCACTTCTCATCCAGCTTCCAGCTATTGTGTGTCCTGGAAGGCAGCAGATGATGGTTCAACTGCTTGGCCGCTGCTAGCCAGTGGGAAACCCAGGTGGAGTTACAGGCTTCTGGCTTTGGCTTGGCTTGGAACTGCATGATGAAGGTATTTGGGGAGTGTGTGTGTGTGTCGCGCGCACGCAAGATCATGCACACTGCTCTACTTTCCAAGGAGATGAAATAAATAAATATGGAAAAAGACTACTACTTTAGACTCCTGTTAAATAAAAATTTTAAGAGACCAGGGCCAGTGCTGTGGCACAACAGGGTAAAGCTGTGCCCTGCAGTGCTGGCATCCCATATGGGCATTCAAGTCCTGGCTGCTCCACTTCTGATCCAGATCCCTGTTAACGTGCCTGAGGAAACAGCCCAAGTACTGGGACCCCTGCCATCCACGCGGGAGACCCGAAGGAAGCTCCTGGCGTTGGCATGTCCCAGCCCTGGTCTTTGTGGCCATTTGGGAGTGAACCAGCAGGTGGAAGATCTCTCTCCGTAACTCTGCCTCTCAAATAAAAAAATTTTTTTTTTCATTTTTGGAGACTGAGACCCCTGAAATAAGAGGGTTTATTGGATGTTACAGATGTTAGCAACAACTAAAAGGTCCAGTTCTGAGACAAATTCCTTATGCCTCCTGCAGCATGGCCAGGCAGCAGTTGGAAAAAATGTCCACCGGATCTAAGAAGCCAGGGTATTTTATAATGAAAATGTGTGAAGAAAGCATAAAAGGCTTTAGATAAGAGGGGTGGGACAGCGCAAAAGCAACCACCTGGGATTGGACAATCGCCCATAAGGAGAAGCACTTGGTGCTGTTTGATCGGGTTTGCACGCAGAATGTGACGTCATC